GTAAGAAGCCTATCCTGCTGTCTTTGTCGTGAGCGTTGGTGCCTGATGCCAGCTCCTGTTATGTTCTTGAAGTTTCTTCCTGTTCGCTGACAAACTCGTTGTGTAATGAAGTGCCACGCTGTGGTTTGTTACAGAGGTTTTAGTAACAGTAGTGTCTTACTATACTTTTATTTATCTATTCTAGATAATTTGTGCAATGGAAAATTCCACAAACACCTCCAAGACCTGTTTGCTCCACTTGTTGTTAGATATGTCGATCTGATGGAGTCCTCAATTGCACAGTCAATTCACAGGGGCTTTGAGCGGGAGTCATGGGAGCCAGTAAAGTAAGGAAACCTCCTTTGATACAATCGGAATTTGGGTGCAAATGGATGGAGATTCATACAGAGATGAATTAGCAAACGTTAGACTGGACATGCAGAAAGTTTAATTTAGATTTTATAGTTTAATGCTAAAAATAGAAGGCCTGATCTCTTCAGGGTTTTCAAGTTAATGAGGGAAATGGTATTTACTTTTTGAAATGCATTGCTGCCTCTGTTTGAACCGTGTGCCTTTGGACGTGGAAGCATGAAAATGTGAAAACCTTCTTAGCTGGCATGGCTTTTTGGATCCCGTTCTAAAAGGCCTTTTCTGATGCTGCTTTTGAACTCAAATAGAACAAAAAACCTCGCTTCACTGTGTTCAGTCCAGCCCTATAACCTGTGTGAGTCATTGCTGTACTTATTCTTCCCAATACTCATTTTTTCCACCACCCCCCCATGGAGGGATAGTGCAGCGTTGTGCTTCTCGCGTCAGCCCCGCGGCTGGTGGCTGCACGTGTCCCCGTGTCCCAGGGCAGCTCTGCCGGGTCCCAGCTCCCTCGCCTGCAGGGTTAGGTGTGCAGAAACCATAGTGAAACACAGGCGAGATGATTCAAGCAGAATCAATTATTAAATTTGGAGAACTAGGAATTTACCAGCGAGAAATGAGTAGCCTGAGAGAAACCCAAATTGAACTCAAGAGCTGGTGAATGATAAAAATGTGGCACGTGCTTTGGATTACTGTTGTTATTTCACAGGTTTTGAAGCATTGCTGAACCCTGTCACGCTTGCTCTAAAAAGGCAAGTCAGATCCTACAAAGGAAAAGAACTGACTTTTCCTTCTAATAAAGGTATTAAAAGAGAAAGATCGACCCTTTGCGAACAGCATGTGTCTGATAGTGGCTCAGACAGGGGATTCGGACCAGGTGACCTCTGGAAAGACTATTTTCCCTGCTTTTTTTGTGATTCTCTAGGCAAAGTTAAGTGGCACTGCACTCTCAGAGGTTGCTGTATAGAAGAACGTGTGGTCTTTCAGGGCTTTTCACACCAAATATGTTCCGTTTACAAGGAAAAGAGATTTTGTTCGGCAGCCAGCCTCCCATATGCAACCTGGAGTCTGAGTACCCAGGTTTTTTCCTTTCTTTCTTGTGCATCCTCAGCATCCGTAAGGATTCTGCCTGCCAAATCTCAGGCCTTTTCTTGACACCTGATCATCCCCTCTGTTTTGAGTGGGGTTAAGTGGCTGGCATTCAGGATTCTCTCTCACTTTCCATTTGCTGTCTTTGGTCTGCAGGCTAACAGGATTAAAAATCCTAAAAAATCTTGTTTCAAATAAGCAGATGTGACCCAGAAAACATACAAGAAATAGATCTTTCGAGTAGGAGAATGCCATTTTTACAGCCACTCCTTCAAGCAGAATTGCACTTCGAAGTTAGCATTAACTTTAGTTTCAGAGCTCTGCTGTAGTAATGAATATGTTTGTATTTCCTTCTCTGTTACGAAGCAGAGGCAGTTAACTCTGTGTACCTGTCCACCTCAGTCAAGAAGTCAATAAGCAATTTGTCCTGCTTTTTTCTTTTGTCAGAAGCTGACATTGTTTTGGCTTTTAATTACTTTTGTGGCTTAACTGTAGATGTCCGTAAGTACTTGGCTGTCGTACTTGCCTGTCAAAATGCTTTAACCCTGGGTGTGCCATTATCTATCATTTTCAAGTTATCTTTGATAGTTATAAAAGATCTTTTCTTAGTTCTCTTGTAATGGTTATTCCCTTCTGAAGTTCCAGCTACAGAGTGCTCTGAGCGTTGCAGTTTCAAGCGAAAGCCCAGGACGGACTGTCTGTCTTACAGACTTGGGTATTTAAAAGATTTCTTCCAGCAGGAAAGTGGGTGCCTTTCACAAAAAGCTTGTGTCCATCTGGTGAAAAGATGCACTCTGGGTTTTTTTTTCTACACTAGTTGGTATTTTGTTCTTGTGTCTCGCACACAAAAGTGCGAGTTGCAAATGCAGGCTTAATGCGATGTGACCCAGCGAAGGAAGAGACCAGCGAACGCACGGAGGGTGGCACATACTGTGTAGGGGAAAGGAGGGGTGTCGTTCCTAGGATCTTATGGCAGTTTGGATGCGCTCTTCAGAACTAAATGTTAAGGCATCTTCATCTTTTGCCTCCTGGGCAGACCACCTGCTCCTCTTTGTCTGATCAACAGTGAACTTGCAGAAAAACTCAGGTCAGAGACTTATTTTGTTTGATTTGCCCTCATGTATCTACCTCCTTCTGCCCCCACATGTCCATTCTGCAGCACAGTTGAATTTTTGGCCATTGATTCTCAGATAGTTTGAACCCATCCAAGTCATGGCCTTCCATTGCCGCCTCTCCAGCAGAGCTTTTTGGGAATTGGGAACACTGCAGTATGTTTTTCCATGGCTTTCCTCTGCTTTGAAGAAAGGCCTTCAGGTTGGCCAGAAAAGGTAGATCATCGTGGCTGTCCGTTCCACCGAGCTTACTGTTGTCCTGCTTTGGATCTCTACAGTGAATTGTGAGAAGGAGATCTCATTATCTCCTGTTAACCAAGAAATTATTCCACAACACAGAGTCTTTTGAAAGGGTTTCTCTATGCTCGTGCTTGCAATCAAGGCTGGAATATGTAGCCCTCCATAACCTGACCAGATGGCAGTTTGCAAGCATGTATTTCTTCTATTTTCATTGCTGAATACTCTGCACCTTATGCTACAAGGAGTTAGGTATAGAAATCACAAACAGTGAGAGAGATACTGTTAAGTATTGAAAACATGGGGGGGGAAAAGCATCGATGTAATGTGCTCATGAGGGCTATGTAATCTGCCTCTGCAGAGCTGCTGAATTTGCAGGGGGTCCGTGCCCTATAGCTAGAGCAGCTGGTGTGCTTGTATGAATCCACGCAGAGAAATGTGGAACACTTGTCCTTCGCACAGTCATCCAAATACGGAGGATACAGAGTAGGTCTGTTCTCTGGTGAGTTGAGAGGTCTTGGAAAAGTAGGGTTTGCAATGGGGTTTTTTTCATGCTAGCTTCTCAGAGAACGCTGATTTATCTTGCAGCCAGCAGACACGTACGTGTGTGTGTGCGTCTCTGTGTGTGTGTCTGTGTTGAAAGATCTTTTTGAGCAAATGCTAAAGCCGGTGCAATGACAACCAGTTTCAATCGCTTGACTAGGACGTTACTCATTGACCTATGGCTGTCTCTACCGCACTGTAGTCCTGGCTTTAGCATCTATTAATTGCTCACTAACCCTTTGCAAACTATTTATAAATGTATCATCAATATAAATGTAAGAACTTGAACAGTATGATTATACTGTTCATTTTATAAGGTTGTACTACTAAAAAATGCTAGTGAAAAATGTTTCCCCTTAAAAGAAGCACCATTGTAGTGAAAATGAGTATTTTTGTTACTATTCTGGGTGTCAGTCAGAGGAAGAGCACAGATTTGACTGCCTACTTCACTATCAAGCTCTCTGCTTCACATCAAGGCTTTTGTGAAAAGATTTGCTCTTGAGCATTTGCTCAGCCTAGGCAGTAAGGTTGTAAGCATTTATAGTGATGGAAGAGACAGGCGTTTGCATCTTCCATCACTAAATCATTTCAGGCATCCCGTAGGAACTGAGCGTTTAAGTATGGACAAGGTTCTCGTTTAGCTCTATTCTGAAGCCAAGAGACAACTCAGTAAAAATACTGTGATTTTTCTGCCCTCCTTTCAGTACTAGGGCAGCTCTATGGGAGCAGCCCCTGTGCAATTGGACTTGTTTTCTGTGATCGGTGCTACAGTACAGTGTGAGTGTTGGGATGTTGTCCAGGGGTATGTTGCCAGTCTGTTTGCACTGCGAATTTCCCAGCAGACAGTTCAGGTGAAAGCCATTTGCACAGTTACCAGACACAAACAGGGATGAATCAAAAGAAGCCAAGAAAACGAGCAGTACGGCTCCGGAGTGTGCGTCTTTTATCAAACGTATCAGGATCCAGTCCTGAAGCTGAGTCGTCTTAAATCAGACAGCCCTCATCTTGTTGATGCAAATGCCCACATTCCCTGCCTGATGGCTGAGGTTATATTTAGTCATCTATATTGAATAGGCATGGCTGGCTTCTAGAAACAGTTTCTCATCTTGGACCTGTAGTTTTATGGTCTGAGCAACTGCAGGCTGGAACATTTGTTGGTAATATTAATCATTTTTTACAGGTCTCACTGCAACTGTTAGTCAGATAATTAGATCGGTTGAACCTGCAAAACTGTGCATGTCAATTCAGGAGAATATTTTTAAAATTAGTTACTGTATGTTAACATAATATACTCCATTATTTTGCTGTTTTGTTTTGTTTTAAGAGTACTAACTTATTCTTGCAACATATCCTTGCATCAGCAAAATAATGTGTTGTATAAAAGAAATATGTTTCCGTGTGAATATAGTATACTGTTTACTCTAGAAGTCATATTTTATTAATACAGTGTTTTTATTAATATAACACTGTCACTTCTTGAATTTTAATATTAAAACCAAAGGTCCTCTGATTTATGTATTTACCATCTGGCTAAGTTATTTAAGTTGCTTTTCCTTATACATTTATATGTTGTCCACCTCTTGCTATTTCTTTATTTATTCCATATCAGTATCTAACCACATGCACTGCCATTTCTGAAGATTTAACACTCTCTCAATCACTATGGAGTCTGTGTCTCATTCATATCATCTTAATAGCAGATACAGTATGAATGGAAACAATGGACAGCTTTGTTATGTTAGTAAATTCTCATATCTGCTTACTGCCTAACAAAGAGAACAAGCAGATAGCGTGAAGTCAAATCTACTAAGAATCACAGACACAAAAGAAAACAAGAACATACTTTTTTTTTTCACTAGAAAAAGACTTCAGATTGTGGTTTTCCTCCCCAACAAGGGATTTTATTCACAAAGGGAGAATGAGGGTAAAGTATATTCCCTAAGACTTGCTACCAATGTCAAACTGAGCTCTTACAGAGTTGTGGTTCAAATCTTCTGTTTCGTTAGGAAACATTTATTCAGTATAGCCAGCTCAATTCCATTACTTTGGGGTTTGATACATAAAACTTGCAGTAAGAAATGGAGTTCGAAATACTACTCAAGGAAGTTGCTAAGATTTTAATATGCCTTGAAAGACATACTATATAATTTGATAGTTTTCCAAAAGTCCAGATAATGCTGCCTGTACAGTAACTAATGTAAGCCAGGGGAATGGGAGAGACCTCCCAAGGTGGCATGTCCTGGTGCGGTCACTGAGAGCAGGGAACTTTGAACGCTGAAGCTGTGTCCATGCACATCAATAGAAAAGCTTCCAGTAGCTTCAGCAGTGCAGGGTGAAGCTGAAATCCTGAAGTCCTGATTCCATTTTCACTGAGCCCAAATAATGATCCGGTGAAAACAGTGTCAAAGCATCTGGGTTTGTTCCTCAAACGGGACTGTAAAACCATCTATGGATTGTGTCCCAGTGTCGCATAGAGCATTACTGGATTAAGGCAGAAACAAGATATACCTCTGAAACTGGCTTCTTTTCTGAACCAGGAAAATGGGAGCTGGGTAATTGAGTTCTATCTTTTGCTGGTTCTCAAGTCCCATGACATTTTTATTTTGCATGTAAAATATAATGGTGATGAGATACTCATTAGAACAGAATTAGACCAATTATTATCTAGAGACCTAGCACACTAAAATACGTCAGGGTGTTTTGCAAACTTTGGGCATGTGGTGCTGTTACACCGCGCATTGTTTCAGGAGAGTACGTCGCATTGAATTAATACACTAGCCCACTTTTAAAAGATCTCTATTTGCATAACCGTTGCATGTCTGAAAATATTTATTGAAGTCGTGATGCCCAAGTACGCATGCTTCATAAATTAACCTTTGAATGTCTTAATCACCCCACGGTCCGTTTCCAGCCAAGAAATACTCACATACCAGTCCTGGATTTATTAAGTGCAGTTCATTCACAGTGCACATATGTAGCGCTGGGCAACCTGCGGGACCCATTTCTCCGCACCCAGGAATGCAAGTGCAGGATCAGGGCACGAGTCTTCACTGAGGAAGAACCTTGTGGTTCACTGTTTCATTGCTCCAGATTAGCACATCTTCATTATTTGTAGAGTACAAAATAAACAGAGAGGTTTTGGAGTGAAATCCCAACTCCATTGAATTTGGTGGCAAGAAAAACTCTTAAGGACTTCTGCAGGGCTGGAATTTCAAACACTCTGTTTATTATTTTGAATCCCAGTTCTCTAGTAGATCTCTTAATTTAGCTCTTCCAGCCAGCCTAACTGAGTGTGTAAGAACTGAGACTCACTTCCTTACCGGAGAGATTTTTCTAAGTAAACGCTGCTCTCTGCACTCTGAAATGGTATCAGGACTTGAAGGTGGAGTTATTTTCTGTGGGTGTTCGAGTGCTCTGTTAATTTGCTACTTTGTGATCCTTCTTCTTTTCATTCTGTTGGGGTTTTTTTAAGTAACTTGCTTTTTATTGCAGACTGCAAACCCAGTACACTTAAGCTTCCATACTCATGCTTCTTTCTGAAATGTTTTGCTTTAGTTTTTTAACTGTCGTCGTGCTGTGAACTTTGCAGATTTGTTTATGAGTGTCACGTGCTTCTGCCACATCTGCATTGTCACTGTTATGGTATTTTTTCTTTCTGTCTGTTTCTTCCACAGGAGTTTAACAAGTAATCTGCCCAATGTGAATCTACCAAATGTGAATCTCCCTAAAGTACCAAATCTACCAGTTAACATCCCACTAGGCATCCCACAAATGCCTAGCTTTTCTGCACCGTCATGGATGGCTGCTATTTATGATTCTGAGTGTGTATTCAGTTCAAATTAGATCTCATTTAAATTTAAAGTAATCTTGGCATGGATATGTATTGTTTGTTTCTGTGCATTATAGAAAACTTTAAAGAGTGATACAGTTAATTAGACGTTTTCTGAATGAGACACTAGTGAATTTCTGGCATGTGTCTTTTGAGGGTTTTTTTGTATAAATCTTGAAAATTTGTCTTACTCCCACTGAGGGTTTGAGCAAGTATCTTGCTTTACAAACTAGCTGTCGACAACGGGACATGGTCAGAACAACATATGAACCACAGAGCTTATAATGTGACATTATGTGTCTCAGCAAAGACTTTTGTCCAAAAGAGAAGATGAACCAATTTCAATGCCAGTCAACCAATTTCTGTGGACCAGATGTAGATCTAAAAGTGAATTTTATTTAACGGAAGCTCCGCATTTTCCAGATAATAATTTTTGTCTTGATTTTGATGAAACAAAAAAGATGCAACAATTCTTTTTTGATGCAACAATTCTTATTCATGTTGGGGGAGGCCCCAGAGAGCAATTAAATCTCCATTACAGCCTGAATAATGCCATGACCAACTAAAGAAAGATATTTTCAACATGACCTTTAGGTTATGGCCTGGAAAATCGGGCACAGTGTCAAAGCAGTCGATCTGTAGGAGCTTTGTGCTCCCAGGTCCCTATCCGAGCTTCCCAGGGTGCACAGGTGGAGCTCAGGGGGGACATACTACAAATCCTTGGCTGAGCACAGATTAGGCAACATCTGTTTTTATAGCAGATTTCCCTTAGAAGTCCCAGCCACCAAGCAGTGGGAGGGTGGTACACAGTGGGCTAAACCCGCATCTCAGCGTTTGAAGTAGCTCATCTCCCCAGATGTCCTAGCACAGGAACTGACGTCTTGCCAGTTCTCCATCCAAATTCCTAGAGGGTTATTTAGGGTTGGCATAGGATGGTTTCAGCCAGCACTACGTAGGTGTGTTGCTTTTTTCTTACCTTCTCACTTAAAAGATAGAACTGAAGAAGCCCCCCAAAACTACCCCCGTTACTGTTACTGAAACACCCTTGATTACATCTACACCTGGAGTCCACCAAAATGCCTCTGCCATCAGCCTCACGCAGGCTGTATTGCAGAGCAGTGGTAACGAACCAGAAGTAAAACAAACACTGATGTTTGATTTTTTTTAATAGATTTTAAAAACTTTTTAAATATTAGCACGGTCGTTTTTGTTTCAAAGCTATACAACTCATATTCATGCTAAGATAGCTATATTAAAGGCTAGCTTAGGCAGTTGTCTGTAAAGAGTACTTGAAAGTTTTAATCTTTCTCTGTGCATGCTTTGTGGTATTGCCCTTGAAAAGATAAGAATCATGTCATGACAGAAAATTGGATAATCCTTCTGAAAACGCTTGCGCATCAATGGTATATTGCAAGCTGCCTGCGTGATTAGAGTAATTGCGGTGCTCACAAGCAAAATATTAACTGTGCATCTTGGAAATGAATATACTATATTGTTTACTTGCATGGAGCCCTAATCAAAAGTGAGAAAAAGACCAAGAATAATACTTTTAAAATTTTGAAACCAAATGGATGTCATAATGCAGCTGTAGTAAATACCAATTATTGCATTTGTACGTATTTAATTATTTAAAACATAAATTCATGCAGTTCCAAAACTGGGTTTAGACTGTTAAAGCTCATTTATAGCCAAGCACAGGTTTGATCCAGGTGCAACTAAAAACTGGCGGTAGATGAACACTTGAGACTGTTGTACAAACTGGTCCCCTGGTTAAAGGAAATGCCTGATTCTTTATCTTTTCATCTCCCTGGTTTCCTTTTACTCACCCTTCCCCTCCATCAAGGACATGTTACCTGTTGCTTAGTGTCAGATACGTTTCTCCTACAACCGAGACGATTCATTCTCTATCTCGTTAACTCTGTTAGCACAGGACCCCGCAGGACCCCTCTAGCATGTTGGGACTACGGTTCTCACCTTGCAGTAGCCGTGTATGCATTAGCTCCAATCTCCTCTAGCATTAACTCAATGCAGCTGGCATCTGTCACAATAGAAACACCCTCCCTCATCTGTTTCTATAGATGATGTCGGCACAAGTGGTAATGCATGGTGTGTTAAATATCTTATAAATTACCGTGTTAGCATTAGTGGTATGCGAGGAGGGGGTTGAAACTCTTGAAGCTCCCTTGGTAATTGTTCTGAAAAAAAAGTGAGGGAGGAGAGAGGGAGAGAAAAGGGTTACGGATGCATAAATTTCTCTGCACAAACAAAGTGCAATCCAGTTCTGTATTTTTATTCTGTAAGTGGAGGTTTGAGATACAATTCTACTGTGAAAAGAGCCGGTGTAGCTACACACTGCAGGACCAAAGACTTCCATCTGGGCAGGGGTGTGGGTAAGAGAATATACGCTTGGGAGATAAATTCAGAGTTTTGTGACAGAGCAAAGATGTTGCAAAATAAATTTTAAAAAAATGGAAATTTGTTGTCCTATAGATGCCTTTGCAAGAGGCAGATCTGTGAAAAGGTGCAGCGGTCAATCCTGCCAAAACTCCTTGATATGAGATGTCTAGCGTCCTTAGCTCAATTGACTTACCCCGATTTTTTTTCAGCCCTTCAAGAGATAAAGCGTGTCCTCGCTCACCACTTGTTAGCACTGTCCCTTAGCTGGGAACAGGGCCTCACTGGGGGGGACAAAGCAAACTCAAGGTGTAATTCGGAGGGGGGAGAATTGCATGAAACCCTAAATCTTAATAACTGCGTACAGTCTAGTATGGCAGTTATTATTGATCGAGGATTTTCTACCACAATTTCTGGCCTTAATTCTTAATAATCACATACGTTAATGTGGTTATTAACTAAGGCTGATTTTTACCATACACACATTCTTCCTGTTAATATGTGTAACTCATAATGTTGTCTTACTCATCTGGTCTGGAAAGTTTTGTGGGTGATGACAGCAAGGTAGATTAGGCAACTGTATGGTAAAACTCAAAATCCTGATGGTGGAGATTGCCAGCGTTGTCCTGTGTATGAAACTACTGTCTGCTCTACACTTGTTGCAGGAATGGTCTCCACATCAGGTTGCAAAGAGCCTGATGCCACTTATGACTTTTGTTCTCATTTTGCCCTGCCAGCAACGGATCAGGCACCTCGGAAGATCTGTTCTGGAAACTTGATGCCCTACAGACCTTCATTCGGGATTTGCACTGGCCTGAGGAGGAGTTTGGAAAACACTTAGAGCAACGCTTGAAGCTTATGGCGAGTGACATGATTGAGTCCTGCGTGAAAAGGTGCGTGCCCACGAGCGAACTAGTCATGTTTCTCAAAGGAGCTCACAGGATACAATGGTTTTTTCTTTCTTATTATCAATGAAGCTTCACTTCAACCACCACTGATGAGTGACCCCAGCTCACCTCTGCCCAGCATAGGCATGGTGGAAAGCCATTGCTGTGAATTATGGACTCTCCTAAGCAAGCGCTTCTCCATTGAGACTCTGGAGAGTGCATATTCACGATAAGGCAATAAATCACCCATTATTTCAAGCTTTATGAGATGTTACTTATTTTCGGTGCCGCACGTGAGTCTTGACGTGAATGCAGTTTGGTGTTGGCGGGGTTCAGTGCTGAAGGCATAGCCCTAAGTAAGATCCCAGCACCCACCTAAAAAGCACAGATCCATGAAAAAACAAGCAAAAAAGTGATCCCAGAAAGGGGATATTGTGTAGCTTGGCACACAGGCTTCACATCTGCCGTCGAGTGAGAAAAGCTATTGTATTATCAGCCACATTATAGGATACTCACCTGCAGATCTTCCAAAACAGAGAGGTTTCCTTAAAAAACTTTTAAACATACAGGCAGCTGTCATTTTGAAAACAAAATGTTAAGGTTAAATTTCCAACCTTTCCACAGTAATTTATGTCTATTTGGCATCAGAGGTGATGAGGCAGGAGGAAGAAATGAACTTTGCATTCCATTGTGCAGAAATTAATAGACAAAGAAAACAAAGGAAAAATGGGTGCCAAACACAACTGGTAGATGCTAATATTAGCTGCAATGTGTGATGTGGCTGTTCTGTCCCACAATTGCCTGGCCACTCTGCAGGTGCAAGCATGGCATTTATTGTTGGCGTGTTCCTCGCAGTCTGGATATGCAACGTCACCGTAGGAGAAGGCACGTTTGGTCCCCAAGATGTAGGCAGGAGACTCGCCCGTTGGAGGGCAGACAGCTCACGGCTTGCTCTGGAATAAAACCCAGTACATTTGAAGTGCGATGAGATGGTTGATATGTCTTTGGCATTGAGCAAGTCCCCTTTTATTGCAGCAGCTCGTCTTTGGTCCTTTGGCTGGCACGAATGCTGAGCTTCAGTTGTCCTCCAGTTGTCAGACCATCCTTTAGGAGCAAAGCCAGTGCCGGAGCTCTGCTCTCTGCTCTGCCCCCAGCACCACCAGCAAAACACTTATTTTCTCTTTTTTTTTTTTTTTTTTTATTAAATTGGAACCAAGGCACCTTTGCTACACCTGCAGTGCAGTTATAGCTGCGATGATCTGTAGAAATCAGACCAGGTTAGCTCAGCTGAGAAAAATAAGCAAGTTTCCAGGTACATCTGAAGAAGGGCTTGTGTGCCTGAAAGCCGGGGTTTTTTTCCCAACTGCTTCAACCTTTCTACAAATATGTTGCCCCTCTGTAAAAACCTGGCCCAACTTGTAATGGTATGACTATATATAATGGTTCTGAGCATAAGTAAGTAGGAACATGCTCGTCTCTGCGAGGAGATGGAAAATCCCAGTCACTTTGGGTCCTTTCAGTAATTATCAAGATTCTAGTCCCCGAGTCCAGGCTAAATCTGGCACTGGTAATTAAATCAGTTCAAATGCCACTGCTGATGTAAACCAATATGCTGCCTTCCCTATTTATATCACCTGCAAACAGGGCCTGGCTAAGGTTTCTTTAGCAATTTCAGTTTGACACAACATTTTTCTTCGCGTCTGTCTCTGAACTGTTGAATACCATGGAGGAGCCACCCCGCCTTCCGCACTTGGTTGTATTTCGGTGCTGTCAGGAAAGCAGCCCTTGCAAGGAAGGCCTGTTTCGCTAATAAATCCGGGCGGGAGGACCTATGTACCAGCTCAGATCTCATCCCAAGAACAGGAGTTTCACATTTGTAAATGAGTTTTCATTTGCATAACCCTTGGGGGATCTTTCAAGATCAGAGTTATTCCTGAGCTGCAGCTGATATTATTTGTTATTTCTAAATTGAAGCTCCTATGTTAATTTGTTGGCAGATTCTGTCTGATGTGATAATTGTTCTGTGTTAGGTTAGATTAGTGAAGTACCTCAGGAATCTGCAGAGGGGCTCCAAAGAAAGGCAAGGCAATGCCCACCGTACTGCAGAGTATTCCCCATGTTAGAGTCACAGATGCCTTCATGTTTTAAAATACGACACGGGATCAAATCCTGTAGTCTTTGGCCCAACAAAGTTTTGGTGTAACACGTGCACTGTGCCCACGCACATTTTGCAGATGTATTCTGGTGAGTATGTATGCTTCGGGGAAGCTACTTCTATGAACTTATGAGACAATTAGGAACTTTCAGCAAGCAAATAAAATCATTTAGACTGCATGCAATGATCTGGCAATGTCCTTTCAGTCAAGCGATGAAAGAGCTTCTGTTATTTGTAGTTGATATCATGGAGCAATAGGAGCTTCCTTTAATGCGTCAGGCTTGCTATTTGTCTGTGGTTATAAATCAGCTAATGCAACCAAATTATAGGTGTACATTGACACTGCTGTTTGTAACATCATCACACTGTTTATCAAGCACGAGAAAGTCATAGTTTCCCTGAAACCGTTGCACACTTTATAAATAATGTGTATTCTGGAAAGTGGGTTTCTTTTTGAACTGGAAAATCGTTTTCAGTGAAAGCACATTTGTAACACTCCCAGCAGCATTCAGCTTTCCAGTTTGTTGAACTCTTCTCAGTATTGTTTCACATTATTATTAACTTCAGTATGTTAAAAAGCAACTGAAATGTCTCCTTCTCTTTTCCTTAACAGAACCAGGATTGCATTTGAAGTAAAGCTGCAGAAAACCAGCCGATCAACAGATTTCCGAGTCCCTCAATCAATATGCACCATGTTTAATGTCATGGTGGATGCCAAAGCTCAGTCAACAAAGCTTTGCAGTATGGAAATGGGCCAAGAGGTAAAAATGCAGGTTCTTCCCTTCACAGCTTTTAAAGGCAATGTCATGAAATTTCCTATCTCCTGTTGTGCTAGTTTCAGAGGCGTTATATCAGTTGTGGATTTAGCCTTCCACATAGAGTGTGTAGATGAATATGCAGGGGGTTGCTCTCAAATAAATCTAATGAATATAAACATTCGGTATCCCCGTCACTTAGGAGTGACTTTTTGCAAGCTCTGTGGTGTGCATAAGGTTACTTGATGCATGATGACCATATATATTGAGTCATTAACTGCACCTTGGAGCCAGGTGTCGGCAACACACTTTCTAGGTATGACTATTTCCTGTAGACAAACATAAGGAAAATGGAAGTGTCGGGTTGTTGCTGTGATGCTTGTAAGGAAGAAAAAAACAAAAACCAAAACACCAAAATAGATACCTTCCAAAAGTAGATTGAAATTCCGGCTGCTGTGACTTCATTGAGTACTGGCTATAATCAGCGAGTTTGATGATCCTGGATTTCCAGGTTCTTAATGACTCAAGTTGCCAAACAACAAACCTGTTTTAATTAATTGCTGCTCTATTTTTTCTTCCAAGCCATAGTTGCAGGTTGAACTTTCTGTGAATTGATCTATGAATTAGAAAGACATGGTAAATTGGACTAGATTAAATGCATCATAATGATCATTTTGCTACAGTGGCTTCAAGCTAAATTAAATATTCCTATACCAGTCTGGAATAAATTCACAAATACCATTTGGCTGTCCTATCCTGCTGCTTGTCAGCATTTCCTAGATAAGACCTTTCACTACAACTTTCCATGGTCAGATTTTGCAGTGAATCATTGCTAGTTGTTTTTTTCTTTTTTTTTCAGTTGTTTACTTCACCCTGTTCCTCTGGGAGGACTTGCTCCGAAGGCCACTGGGTGCAGCAGGGATCCTTGCCCTGATGTCAGTGGTGTTTGGATCAGACCCAGCTGTTCATATTCATCCCCATTTATCTCCCCAAATCCCTCAGCCCGCAGCTGCTGCAACATCTGCCCTGGCAGTGCCCCGTCAGCCAGGAAGGGCCATGGTGGCGATGCTCCCCACTGCAATTCAGGATCAAGCCCTTGTGCATTACACTAGCACAATCCCTGGGGACAGGGACATTTTGGAGATCAAGCAGACTCCGATATCATGACAGAGCAAGCTCGTTGCATTCATAGAATTGTCGGGTTAAGTATTCAGATGGCACAAGACTGATAATATCAGCTGCGTCTGGATATAGCGTGACCGGGCACTCGCTGCATCTTTCCATGCTAACCTGTGATGCTCTGTGCTTGCCACAGTTTCCTCCAAATTTTCAGCATCAGTCACATTGCACATTCAGCCTGAGTCAAATTGCAAGTGAGAGGGGAGCGGGCGGCAGCGCGGTTGTTTCTCTGGTGTTCTCAGCTGCAGCGGGGATCAGCTCTGCAAATCTGCCTGTGCCGCTTCAAGAAGGTGTTTGGTACGGCAGCTCGGAGCCAGCCTAACTCCTGTGGCAAGCAGCACTTGCTGGGGCATGAGGTTTTTAACAGATAGCTGAACTAATAGACCTGTAAAGCAGATGTAAATTATCGGTGCATAAGTTACCGTTTAGGGCTGTAGAATTTTATACACCCTCCCTTTTTCTTTTCTTTCTTTTAATGAGTGTTCCTACCTCCCCCTCCGTTCATGCCACTCCATATTTCAGCTACCTCCATCTCCTCTTCTTGAGGCCGTCTAAAGCTGTGTGCTGAGATGGTCATGCTGGGGGGGGGTAAAAGTTAAGATATAGATTTGTCGTTACAGCCCATGAGGGGAGGACAAAATGCCACCCCACCGCTTCCAGTCCGCGGTGGAAATGATGAGGCAGTCAGATAGACAGCAGAGGGATGAGAAACTGGGTTTCGAGCCTGTCTCTTCCTAATTCGGGGAGCTGGGTCTGCGCATCGTCGAGTCCCTCTGTCCCCCCGTCCCCGGTGCGTGGCCGCCTGCAGCCCCGCCGGGGAGGGAGGGACAGACGCTCCTCGCTGACGGGACCCTCCCTCAGTGCCACAGCCGCCGCCTGGCTCCTAAAATACGTGGTCCCTTTGCAGACAGTTCAAAAGCAGCAAAAAGGGCTCAAATTGCCCACCGCGGTGCTCGGGCACGGGCGTTTGCCCAGACCTAGCTGGAGAAGACATTTTGATTAGAAACAAGCCACTGATTTTTCTGACGGTCCAAGCTGTACGTGAGCAGAGAGTCTCTCGACATGTTATTTGACCTCGCTCCTGCGGTTTCCCTCCCACCCCAATGGCCTTCCCTTTAAGACTACCTTCAGTTACACTCACTTTAACAGATACTTGAATGCATTTTGCGAGCATTACCCTGTGAAACAAACACCCATCATTTCATTTCCATTTCCTTGTCTCTAAAGGCAGCTGTTAAAACATTTGGTAAACATACTTTACCATCTTAAATATTTATTTTTCCTCTGAATTTTTAATACATCTAAGGGGATAAATGTATGTATTAAATGTTTCTCAGTTGGTCTAGTATGTTTCTATTTAATATCGAAGGTCAGATGGTCCTTAGAGAAATACAACGTACACACAATCTGTTACATGACAAGGCAAGATACTCATCACATAAAGTCAAGTTGAATCATTGTAGTGCACTGATTATGGATTGTAATAATTGAGCTAATAGAAAGCTGCGATGAACTCGATTGGAAGCGGGGGCTACGCTGGGTAAAGCAAACCAGTTATGCGATTTTTAACCTTGGGAGTTTTCATAAGAAATGTAGAAGGAGCTGTTGGAAATGCTGGTTTACGAGCCAGGCATCTGTGAAAGCAGCACCAGGCAGTCGTTTTCCAAACCGCTGCCTTCTCCGGCCCCGTCCTGGCCGGGGCTCGTCTTCCCAAGGTGGAGCTGGGGCTGCAGCGCTGGGTGCGCATCGCTGCGGCTGCCTGGGGCAGGACCCGCAGCCTCACGGGCCCTATTCTGCACAGTGGCTGGCACCAGGTCTGAGTCTGCCCCAGGGACTGCGGCCGCAATGGGAACAAGCGGTCAGAGACTTACCAACACCACCTTGGTGCGTGCACAGGGTCCTCTCCTGCTCTCAGAGCTGCGGTTTTATTCCATTACTTGCTTTTTAAACAAGCTTTTAATTGAAAATGTGTTGGTCAGTGCATTTCACAGTGTACTGTTTTGCAGGTAGCTAGCCGTTTTTGAGTTGAAACTCATGATTTACCCAATGAAAGCAGTTAGCTAAATCCCTGGTTGCGAGATCTTCCACGCACACAGAAAATGCAGCAGCAGCAGGAAAACATCATGGGGAAGACACCCCCAATATACGCACAATCCCTTCTTCACCTCCCTTAGGAGGTCCTGGCTGTGCATGCCAAGGACGTCAGCAGCTCCCACCCGTACCCGGCTGTTACAGGTCCCCGTCACCCCGCAGCTGCATCTCCAGCTGCGCTGGGAACAGCCAGGTCAATCCTGGGAGCTGGTAAGGGCTAACTCTGCGTTAAACAGATTAATCATAATTATGATCCCTATAAGGGACTCGTGTATGTCTTGTCCCCCAAAGCGGGACGTGGAAATGGGAACTGCAAGTGCAAATATCACTTGCTTGTAGGTGGGTGTTTTTTCCTCTGAGTGGGCCCAGCAGATCGCAGCCTGTGACGTGGGGGTGCCAGCCTGTCCTCCCGCGTGGGTGAGGCTCTCAGTGGCCCCAGCCAGGTCTTCGGCCACGGTGTGCTGCACCGTGCGCCCCTGCCCCGCCCTGCCCCGCCCTGCCCCGCCCTGCCCTGCAGCAGGGCTCGCCCTTTGGGTACATCCTGGTGAAGGGGGTGCAGCTGCCCCCATGCTGAACCCTGCCTGTCGACAGCCGGTCGCCTTCCTCTTCGGAGCGAAATAAAGCCATAAGAGACTGTCAGCAGTTAGGTACAATCCCATCCCTTCCCCCTGTTTCACTGCCTGCAAATACCACAGGTAGCGATCTCTGATATTTCAGTGAAAGGAGGTTTTGATCATGTTTCATTTTCCATTGCTTATTGTTTCTGTGCATGATGCTGCTGTTCTCATATGTCCCTTTTTTTAAAGATTTTGGTTTATTTGTTTATCTTCATATGTTCTTTTTCCTGTCTTTTGCACTTTCCTCTTTATTTCTGTCCCCAATCATCTGAAAAGTTTGCTAAAGAGTGGGTAAGTGTGTCCTACTTTTATTTTCTTTTTTCCAAATTCCTGTATTAATATGTTACTGTCATAGAAAAAAATCCCCAGACTGTAGAGCAGTTCAGAGACTACCGATCAGACACTGAGACCAGCATCTAGCATTTGTAAAGCCCTCGCAGTCTTCCTTCCCAAAGTCTGATTAGTATTTAAAGCAGATTTGTCTCTTTCAATGTGATTTGATGTTAACATTTTAAAACAATATTAATGCCAAGTGGTAATGAATATAGTGACTAGCACCAGTGCTTGAAATGTTTGACTGAAAAATCAAATGTTTTGTGTTGGAAAGCAGTCATAATCAGTATTTTCTCAGTCCATTGAAAATAAGAATATACTGTATGTTTTCACTAATTAAATCTTGTATTGGAAACAGGTCTTTTCTAAATTAGTAGAAGACTGTATTTTAGTACCTATTCTAGCCATATTGCAGCTGATTGCATCAGAGCTCCCAAGCAAAGCAAGGTTTGGCATGTGCAGAAATTGGGTTGAAGACTCAGAAACGCTGATGCTGCAGGCACTGGCGTTGGTCAGCCGGTTCCGAGCCGTGCCGTGGGATCTGCTAACAGCCAGGGCTCAGGGCTGCACTGCCTGCCGGCTTTTGCATGGGACAAAAAGGCTCATCTTGGTTTGTTGGGGGTTTTTAAATCTCTTATTAATCACTGAGCAAAGCGTTTGAACCATGTGCCTGCTGAAGCCAGTGTGTAACATGCGTTCACGTGCTTTGCTGCAGTAGGTGGGAAGTGCACAGCATCAGCTCCGGTGGTTCACCCCGCTGCAGACGCCCCGGGTGCAGCAAATCCTCCCCACTCCCCTTCCGAGGGCTGTGTGGTTTGCGGTGCCCTCGGCAAGGGCTGCCCGCTTCCCTCCAGCAGCAGGCGTATCTCATTGTCAGGTGTGATCCGTGTGAAAAATGAACGGGATAACGCCCGCAGAACTGAAGCAGGAGGACTTCAGGGTCTCGAGGAGCACTGCGTGCTGGTGCTCTCGGGCATGGCAAAGCCTCCCCTCCGAGGGGAGCGTGTGGCTCCCGGAGCTGCGGGCACACAGAAGAGGGCAGGGTTTGCCCATGCTTCACAAACTGATATAAGATTCTCCTGAATTCAAGGTCTCTCCTGTAAGTGTAAGTAATCGCTGGCCACTATAGTGGAGCACAGGGTAATAAGCTCCATAATTCTTTGGTTTAATACTACTGCATATTGTGGTTTACCAAGGGAAGAGGCTGACAACCATAGAGCTCTTGCCTGTGATCAATGCTAATATTTTCCTCCCCCTCTCCTTTTATTTTTCTTTAGCACCAGTACCATTCAAAAATAGATGAACTAATTGAGGAAACCGTCAAAGAAATGATAACACTCCTAGTGGCAAAGGTAACCTTTGGCTTCAGGTGAAGTGATTCACTGTTAACATTGCGTTTTTAATATGTGTGTTTCCATTAAAATGTGACACATTAAGATGTTGAATTGGCTTCTTGTTTCTCACAGGCAAGATCATACATCTCCCAGTCCTTTCATGGTGACTCTTTGATGATTAGGAACTGCGTGAGATGTAATATGCTGCTAGCAGGATTGCCATACTGGGCCAGAAGTGGTTTTAAGGACTGGGTGTTACGTTAATGGGGTAACACCCCGTGGTCAGCATCACCCCATGGCACTGAGGGTGGCTGCAGTCAGGGGGTGGCACTGCTAAATGCTGCTGCGTAGATGTTGGGGTGGCACGCAGAGGTGGTCACTGCGCCTACCGCATAAGGTTGTGCGGACAAAATAACTCGTCTTGTGCAAGATCGCCATATGCTCTTCTAAGAAATTAATTTAGAGGTGACAGTAGTGGGAAATACATTCCAAAATGTCAGGTTTAATTGTTTGGAAATTGTTTTTCATCAGAGTCGGCTCCTCTAGCTCAGCTGCCAGCATTTCCCTTGGGTTGTTGTATAGGTCTGGTGTGCTGCACTAACACAGAGGGGAATTGGTACATAGGGAGAAAGATGGTGGGGTGTGTTTTCCTCTAGTTTCAAACTTTCTGAGAACAAGTCATCCCTATTATACAGTGGAGACCTTTAAACATAATCTGCCAACATATGCCAGTTAGATTCTTCTGCAAGAATACCCAGCTAGCTGCATGCTTGACACTGCATACTGGGAGCAAAAACCACCGGCTTCCCCATCCGGAGAGGCTGTGCTGGCTTCCCCGCGCGCTGCACCCACCTCCTCTCCCCAGCGTCACCCATGACACCGAGGGTCCAGCGAGAGGTGGACCACGTAGCACCCGAGAGGCAATGCTCCTTTCTCCCCTCTCCCCAGCCCGCTGTGCTCGGGGACAGGTTGTCCGTTCCTTTGGCAATGCTGAGAGCTCCACTGGCTTCTTTGAAGCTGATGCTGATTTTTACACCCTTGTTCAATTATTAAAAATAATTGCAGTATTTTTTGTCTTCGTAGTTTGTCACCATTTTGGAAGGAGTCTTGGCCAAACTGTCTAGATACGATGAAGGAACTTTGTTTTCTTCTTTCCTGTCATTTACTGTAAGTACAGACAGTCTTTTCCTTTCTTCTTTTCTTTTTTTTTTTTCCTGAGTTGTAAACTCCTGCTCTTCCAGGACTAGATCAGCTACGTAATAATTCTGCCATTCTGTGTTGTTTGAACACTGTAACCCCCACATGAATAGACAAACAACCTGCATGCAGGTACACAGTACTTAAACACCCAAGATGCATACGCCATCGTATTGTAGCACAGAGTAAAGCCATCTCCAGTCATCATTCAGGTTGGTGGAGTTTATTCTGTTGAGGTTGCATATCAAGCTCAAAAAAATCATTGCACTGTACATGCAATTTCCCTAACTAAAGAAATTGCTTTTTCGCCACCTTGCATGACGGGTGTGTTCCTTTCATTCTTCTGGCCATAACAGTGACCATCTTAAGTAGTAAAAAACAAAACAAGGGAGATCTAGGGAGTGCCTTTGTGTTTCTAAAAGAGAACAAGGTAAAGGGAAATACCATGGGTTATGCAGCACAAGGTGCCTCTCATGGCACATTTCTCCCTAACATTGCAGAACCAGTCCACAGCTCACATTACGTATTTCCTAGAAAGGTACAGGACAAGAACGATATCTGTGCAAAATTGGCCTCAGAATCCACAAGGGTTTAGCAATCTGAGCTGTATTCCAGAAAAGTGTTGTGACAGCTTCTTAGGACAAACACATAGCAGCTGATTTCCAAAGGTCTTCTGAAAATGCATGCCAGAAAGTTTACAAGAGCATCTGTTTGCAAGCGTGGTTTCTCTTAGCTCAGCTCACAGACAGGTGTGTACCCAAATGCATGCGTCTGGGCTTGCTTGGAAAGTTGCATTAACATTTTCACCCACCGGCCCCGCTGCCCGCATGCGCAGCCTCTCCTGCGCTCGCTTGTTCACGGAGACTGGGCAGGAGGTAGAAGGCACTGCTCTGCAAACTGGGAAGGCTTTCCAAAATCTCTTTCAGGAGTTGTCTTAGCTGCTCGTAATTGTCTGTTGTTTGCTACTCTTGGGCCCTTTTTGCTGAGTTTGAGGAAGTTTTGTAGGATCTGTTTGGATACGGGGATGGTAGGAATGGATGTAGGAAAGCTCACCAACTGAGGCAAGAAACTCAGCTCACAGACAGCTGTGTGCACACAGAGTCTGGCAGCTTACCTAAATTGCCCTGGGGTTTAAACTAAGCGTCACAGCTTTTCAGGTGTGCTGGAGGCACTTTGTTTTTCGGAGAAGGGAGGGTGTCCCACTCACTGCCCTGCAGTGCAGCTCATCTCCCAGGATAACCCCTGCATGGTTACAGCCCCGGGCTGCTCGGCGGGACGTGGGGGATGGCGTGGCGTGGATACCTTCCTTCATTCCAGTGCTGCTGAGGGTTAGGAGATGCTCGCGTGCCAGCAGCAGAGGATGTGGAGGCGGCAGCTTTTCAGGCATCGGAAGTACCAGCATCAGCCCGGGTAGACGGTGTAATGTGCAGCCCTTCCTTCCCCGTGAATCCAAGCTGTTCCTCGGTTGATGCTGCGCTGCTCCCACCACGTCCTACTGTTTACGCTGCCGAGTGGGGCTCCCTTCGATGGCTGAGCGAACCCCCCAGCCGTGCTCGGGCTCTCGGCGCCCGTGAGGAGGCAGCACGTAGGTGCATGGGGGTCAAGCAACCCCACTCTGCCGCTCCTCCGACACTTACTGACAATTAACTGCCCCAGCAGCAGCAAAACGGTCTGTCCTGCTCCGACGGCCCCACAGCCTTTGAGCCCAGCTCCACAGCTTCAGTTTCCTGAGTTTCCAGCCAGGAAGGGGTATACATCCAAATAGTTACTGTGCCTGCTGTGTGCACGTCCCCAGGGAGGTGCTGAGCCCTTGCCCCCGGCAAGGAGACTGAGCGCACTGCGGAGGAGCAGGATTGCTCCTTTGTGGGCAAGGGATGCTTCTCGCTTTGGCCCGCTCGCTTACTGGGAGCCGCTGGGCAGCACCAGCCGCAGAGAAGGCTGAGGAACAGCCCCGACCCCTTTGGCAGTGGGCTTAGAAAGTCTCCCTTCCCTGCAGTAGTAATGGGATTTGCTGTGTTTAGGCTTTGGAATGATAAATAGAGAAACTCTCTCTTGTTACAGCATGCTTGCACCACCTCCCACGTTTTCCCTGTCTGAACAAATACAACAAAGTGTGGTGGTCCAAGCCGCTGAGCTCTCGAAAGCATTAGTCTCCCACCCCCTTCCACCGACTTCTTTCATCGCGTGTTTTCCAGGCGCTCTGCAAGTGACATGTAATCGGGGGTCTTGTGACAGACAGTTTTATCACCTAGTAGGATATCCTCATTTCCAATTCTTGCCTCGAAATTCGAGATAAAATTAATGCATCTGTTGTCCTAATAAATTCTCACTAGCCACTTCTTCTTGCAGAGCACTTTGGGAGGAAAATACACTTCTAAATTTGGCCAGCCTTTTTTTTTTTCTGTTTGTTGCTACATTTAAGTGCATCTCGGCGGCAGCAGCCCAGGCCCTGGCTGGGCGTCTGCATGTGCAGATCCACTGAGTCACAGGAATGACAGCTGCTAAAATTCCCTTTAATCTGGATGGCCTCTGTAGGCAGAGAATTACACCTACGGTAATTAAAACTAAAGCCTGCGTATTACCCGAGGGAGACAGAAGTAAAAGATCTTATTTTTGTTCTGCACAAAATTTGTATGGTAAACTGAGACGTTGCATGGCAAAGTCACATACTTTGTGAAAAACGGCAGCCTAGCAAAAATCACACAACATCCGGCAGTTTGGAAATTTCACTAAATGTAGCCAAATCTGAGTTCAAAGAAAAACAAGTAATTATTCTGATTAAAGGGGAGTGGGCAGGAGAAGCAGCTCAGTTTTTTTGTGGGTGGAGGGGGGAGATCGCAGGAAGGCGACTGAGTTATTCTTGTCGCCTCTTGGCTTTGGGGAAGAAGGCAGCTTGAGACAGTGGCGCTAAGCTGGACCTAAGAGTGCTAAATCCACGCTCAAGTTGCAGGTTTCCTGCGGTGCCACTGCATTACTTCGTGCCCTGTGTGTGATATTGGAAGATACAGGTGCATGGCATGGTGCAGCCCTGAGCGTGGACCCGTCTTCAATTCTGCGGGCGTTGAGCCGCATCAGTTTCCGAGCTTTCCCCCTGGTTGTTTAGCTTTGCTGCTCAGAAAAAGAGCTCGTTTGGAGCTAGCTCGGGTAGCCCTGCCGGCTCCACGCCGGCGTGGGTGTGCCGTGACTGCCTGCTCCTCTGGAGCTGCAGCCGTTGGCCGGGCTCCAGCTGCCTTCACGCATGGAGCCAAGGGCTCCTCCGCTCCCGTTCGGCAGGAGCAAGGGATAGCGCTTCGCTACCTCCCAAGAAAGTTGTGAGGATAAATGCAGTGAAAGAGCGAGGTGTCCAGACAGCCAGCTGGGAACGGGGATACCTGGAGGAGAGACGAGCGTTTGCTCTTCGCTGGGAGGCGAGGGCTTGGCGCTGATTTTGCTACCTCCTTTGTAAACTCATCTGCTGGGACGTGCCCCGTCCCCCTCCATCCCCTCGGAGAGCCAGACCCTGGGTCGCATCGGGGCGGCAGGCGCTCAGCACCCTCCTCCTGCCCTTCTCTCTCTTCTTGCCCCCCGGCTCGGCAGCCCGGGCGCTGCCAATACTTGCAGCGTTCACCTCGGCAATTACCACCAGTCTGGTCTTTTGTATCGCCTCATTGTGCTTAATTATGCACCCCCCACACACACCATATGAGTGCTTCCACCCACTCTCACATTCTGTCTCACACATACATTCATTCTCTCATTCGGGACACATAATTTATTCATCCCAAGATGCAACTGTGTGCGTGTTATATTTAGGCTGTTTTAATGGTAGCTTTAGAAATATTTAAAAGCAGGTGAGCTTTTACACCCAAACAAAGATGGCCGGCAACGCTTACCCTAATTAAAAGCAGAAGCGTTGTGGAAAATCCCAGCCGTACTCTTTCTAGACACGGTGCCTTATGCTACAGTGGGAAAAAGGTCTCTCTGGCCAGCTGGGCACTGCTCAGTTGGAAAAGTTGGCCCTGACATTGGGGACCACCCCGCTTCCCGTGCCAGGCGATGTGCACCCTGCTGCGTGGCAAACCGGAGACAAAGTAAATTTGGGGTCTTGCAGCCCCCACCGGCTTGTGAGGACACCGCAGAGTGCAGCGTCTGCTGTCTGATACCCTCCCTTAAATAATATCTTTTAAAAGGGGGGAAAAATCATAGGAAACTCTAATGTAGCTGTTCACAGTCTCGGAAGCAGAACATCTTCGGGGCACTTCTCTGTGGCATGGGGTGAGCACGCTGCCCCAACACGGTCTGCGAGCTCCTGCCAGTGTCAGGGCCAGCAAAAAAAGGGAAAAATAACATCCCAGGCTGCAGCCTGCAAAGCCGGGGGAAGCACGCTGCGTGCTTGACTGTGGGCGGGGGGCAAAATTAAGGTCCTCTGGGCACTTTGTGGTGGCCACCCTGGTGCAGGTGCCTGCCAGCCCCGCCGTGCTGGTGTGCCCATGCTGCCGGGGGCTCCCACGGTCCCTGGGATGCGGGTCCCGACGGGAGAGACATGCGCTGCCTTTGGAGACACGTGGCATCGGGCGGAGAACGAGGCCTCCAAAGAAAATAACGATGTCTACCTACGAACCCCGTCTTCCCCCGCTCGCTGAAGTAGAAGAGGGAGAAGCACAACTCCCACACTATCATCTGTTGCTATTAGAGCTTTAGCAGCAGTAAAGTTACCTCTCCAAAACAACAACAACAAAAATACAGCCGTTGCCTATTCTTTTAGATGGGAAACGTGGTTTTTCTCACCCTTTTTCCCCCACTCAGCATTATGTTGTCCCAAGTTTTGGCTGGAGAAGCTCTTACAGGTGTTTAAAGAAAAAGGAAAGACCTGAAAACGTACTGATGGTGTAAACTCTCTTCTTGTTCCTTTTACAGGTGAAGGCTGCTTCCAAATACGTGGATGTACCCGTAAGCACAATTTAAACAACTTCTGTCATAGTAATTTGCATCGTGCTTTGGTTTATGGCATGTGTAGCAACCCACGTTATGCATTAACAGCCAAGATTGAACCATGGGCCTTCACACTTCTAACATTTGAACCGGAAAGAATATCTCCATGACGTTAATAATGAGCAGTTACCCCCTCATGGAGACCTACGAGGCTGTTTAGGCAATAATTTGCAGATGGTGTCAAAAAGGTACCATATTTATGCAATTGGCTTGAATCACATTTTTAAAAAAATGGGAGCAGTGCATTCTGTTAATTCTTCACTTGGACTTGTACAAATACAGTATAATTTCCAAACAAAAAGGTCCAGACATGTTAGAACTGAGCCAACACACATCTAACACATTGGCTAATCTATTTTATTTTTGTTCTTCTAATTGTTGGTTTATTTTACTCTTTCGGAAAATGACTTTTTTATTACTTTGGGGAAATGGTGATGAGCTAGCAACATGTGTTTGGGAAATTGTTAATGAAAATAATTTTTTCCATTTTTCTGTAATTGGTATAGGAAAACTGTACATCGTCTCCTCTAATTAGACCTTGATTCATAAGGAAAAGAGCCCTTAACATTCTTAGACAGAGCACTTAACTTGCCAGAAATTTACATTTAAATTGAGTTGAAGTGTAATATATGAATGTTGGCTGGAATAAGGGGTTACTGTAACATTTACAGGCAGAAAAATCCTAAGCAATTAGAAATGAAAAAAGAGTAGATCTTAATATACCACACCAGTTCCTGCATCCAGTTAAACTGGGCAGTGTAAATCAAGAATAACTCAGCTGAGTTTGATGACCTGTGTGTATAATGTATACATGTACATTTAATGCGGATGCAATTGCTCTGCATGCTCTCACACAACAACATGATGAATTTATCAGACGTCTTGGACCACATCATCTGCATTCAGTGTTTCCATCCCTTTAGCCCAAAAGAAACCTTTCCTACCAAATTGCCGTATCTTTAGCCCAGCACAAGGAAGACGAACTCTTGAACAGTAAGAGATCTTCCTTGGTTTAAAATACCCAATGCAGAGATCGGCATCCTGTTGTCTTGGAGTAATAGAAACAAGGTATTGAGGGCATTAGAGAGACTCAGAATTCATTTCTAGCCCTAGAAAATGTGGAGATCCTTCAGCTGAAACTCCTAGTTGTTCAAGTGCATCTTAAATATTTAGTCATCAGGAATTTGAGCACAGAACAATTATTTTAAGTAACTTTTAGGGCAAAGCATGGCCTTCTCTGAGGCCTCTATGTTCCTGGAAAGTAAAGCATCTCTAGGGAAGCAACCTCAGTAAAATGCTATATAACCCTTCTAAGCTTTTCCAAAAGCATTTTCTCATTGTACCTGGGAGACCCTTGGGAGGTCCTCAGCATTGCGGCCACGCGGGAGGAGCAGGGTCTGCTACCATCCTCGGAGCCGGTCGGACGCTCTGGTTCTTGCATAAAATAGAGCAGAAATCATTCATCTGGATTATTTTTTGGTTGTTTCCCCACCTCCCCCTGGAAATGAAGCCACATTACAACGGCTTCCTTGACAGCCCCAAAATTTTTGGTGAAATCAACCACCAGCCCCACACAGCTCCCAGACCTTTGTGGGAGGATGCCCCGTGGTCCATGAGCCCCTGCCTTCCCGGGGGAAGGAGAAAGAAAAACCTGTTTGGTTAGAGGCTCCTCTTTTAGAGGACAGAAGGGAAATCCTGGTGTTGAACAGAAAACCATTGGTTAAATCTAATTCCGCAGACGCCGTTGCAATTGTCTGGGTACAAACCAATCCATTTAATGCCACCTTGAAATGGGCACGATCGGCGTGCTGAAAATTGCTTGAAAGTGTAACACTTGACTACTGCCACATTTGTGTTGTCCTCATTGTTTTTCAAATTAATACCTTGTCATTGTTGCAGTAGGTGTTAAGAAATGTTACTGGCTTCCCAAGGGCCAAGCACTGGCCCTTTGCTTGATAATTGTTTGCTTTGTATTAAAAAACTCCCTTCCTACTGCTTTCCAAACTGTCCTCATTTTCACCCTGGAAATTACACAGATGTGTTAACTAACTTCAATTTACAGCGGCTGACAATCGTATCTTGCAGAGAAATGATACTCTGTGATCTGAGGTAAATCACAGTAATGGAAACTAATGACACTAGTTATTAACAAACTTACAATGTGCCATGGAAATTTAAGATTTTGTGGCAGCTCTTGTAATGACTCACGTTACAGTATTTTAATGGGTTTCCTTTGAGGTAAGTTTGATTCCAATATATCAAGCAATGTGAACTCAAACAGGTTTTTTTTTTTTAAAGTATTTTCCTTTCCACCTGCCTCAGTTCCCATTTTCTTTAAAGAAACGCTGTTATCCCAAAATCTTGCACGCTTGTAGGTTGCTGTTCAAAATCAGTTAAATTCTGCAGAGAGCCATAGAGATGTGACAGCATGGGGAGGCTTCCTCCAGTTTAGCAGTGGCTTAAACATTCATGTAGACATACATTCCCTGACTTACCATTTACCCAATTTATTCTTAAGAGCAGCACTAAATGTGAGCTAAAGTCAGGGGTCTAAACAGAAAAAGAAAGGTGATTTTGCCATGCCTCCTGCCACACCAGCTGCTTACTGCACACGTCCTCACACCATAGAAGAACCAAGAGCCCAGCTCTACCTTCAGAAAGCAGAGGGCTTGCATAGAGAAGATGACCAGAAAACAACAAACCCCCAGCCCAGCTTGCTGGTTCACACATTAAGTCAACAGCACCAAAGGTAGCAAGAGAACTTCCCAGCATTGGTATGTTGAGGAAGAGCTTTATTCCTCTGACCGGCTTTGCTCTAGGCGAAAGAAGAGAAAGAGCAAGTGTCTTTGCACGATCTTGTGCTGCACGCAGTATTTGCTGGGCACGGGGCACAAAGCAGCGGGACGCGGTGTCCGTCAGGTAAGGAAAGCACGAACTGCCGGAGGACAGCAGGAGATGGAGGAGAAGGAAGAGCAGGGACGAGGCTACACGGAGGAGCTGCCCCCTGCGCCGCTATTCATGTTTCTCTCTCTCTCTCTTCTTCTCTCCCCCATGCAGAAGCCGGGGATGGATGTTGCTGATGCCTATGTGACATTTGTCCGCCACTCTCAGGATGTCCTACGTGATAAGGTCAATGAGGAGATGTATATAGAAAGGTTATTTGATGTAAGTAAATGCCTTCTCCTCCTTGGACACCAAGCAGGAGAGACCCAAAATGTGACAAAATAAGACAGGAGGATAAGTCACATTTTGAGAAAATTTGTTGGTTATAGCTTTAAAAAATAAATAAATCTTTCCTTCCTTTCTGACTAAGGCTCGTATCTGCTCTCTGCCTGCTTTAAATCTCTACTCTAGTCTACTGTGTCTTGGTCTGTCTGTGCGTGGATTTTAAGGGAACAGCATCTTCTCAGAGAGCCCTTTACTATGTTTAAGCTTGTGGAAAATCTCTCTGTAACAGAACATCTTGGTCATTGTTCTCACTGTTAAAATTTGAGCCAGGTTTTTGGCAGATGCGTTTGCTAAGGACCATCTCTTCTGCACATTTTGCAATGCGTTTCATTAACAAGCACTCCAAAACTGACAGCAAATTAAGCATACTAAATTTTAATTTTAAAAGCTAACCAAAACAGAGCTGATTAGGAATGGACTTTTGTATTTCAGGAGGACCATCTCGTGGTGTCTGACACCAAAAGTAAAGTTGAGACGTGGTCTCCTTGATGAAGATGGCATGGTAGGAACTGACCCAGATGTTCAGAGCTATTTTTCTGTTGCACAAGAAAAATTCATTGGACTGTAAGAGAACAGTGACCTGTGATGCCCATTTGTTTTGGATTTGGATGCATGTTAACCGATATCTCTGTTTCTGTTGCTCGTGTTGCATTATAGCCTTTTTGTCCTCGTAGCTGTTCTATAGCGAAGGTTTTCTGTTGACGGCCAGCCTGTAGTATTAGTGTTTCAGTCTCCTTTAGGGTATTTGTCCATATATCGATTTCTGTTTGAAGCAGCTTCTGTTCCTACTTTCCTTCCTTTCATCTCTCAGCAGTGCCATTTCTCAGTCTCCCGGCTCTGGAACTGTAACAACCTTCCTCGCTTTCTTTACTCGCTCGTTTGCTTCCTCAGTGTGCAGGGAAAGCTGCTTTTTCTCCCAACCAACCTCCTCCTTCACTCGATGCCTCTCTTTCTGCGCATTACCTGTCCCTTAGAAACCTCTTCCTCCTTTACAATTCCCACTCTTTCTTTCCCCCGTACCTTATCGGATTAAAATGGAACTTATCTCTCATGTCAAATGTTTTATCACATTATATCAAGTGGCATGAATTAGAGTCAAATAATCTTACTGTGTACATCTACTAGCATGACCCATATCCACTGAGAATGCCTCATTCATGCACGGAGCACAGCAGTGCCTCCTCCGGGCGCCGCGCGCGCTCGCTCCGGGGAGAGTTTGCAGCGCAGAGCACCAGACGCAAATCACCCATCAAGCAGGCATGGGGAGAAAAAAACAAAACATAAAACAAAAGACTGTCGCTTCCATCTGCAGTGGGCCTGCGAGTGCATTGCTCGTTTGTGTTGAAATTTATTCCATGAGCAGTTAAATTTCCAGAGCTCATCTGGACTGTTCTTTTCGATGCCCACACTGCCTTTTCCCTCATCCTTTCCCTATGATTCACAGTTGGTATGTTTGTACCCTTTGGGCCATTATTTCCAATTTTCAAAAGGCTGTAATTAGCACAAATATTGATTTCGGTTTGATCCGCTCGTACTTAGTTTTACCAAGCCATATTTTAAACAAATTAACAGTTGACATGAAAAAAAAAGAGCAGCTGCCTTGGTGGAAAGCAAAAAGTGCAAAACCTTTCTTTCCCTCCCTGCTTTCCTCAAGTCTCCCTGGTCTGTGTAGAATAAAATAATCAGGAGTAGGGTTTCTACATTACTCCACCTGTTTTGACCCAGGCTGGCTGCAGGCGGGAGCTGCAGCGTGTGGGAGCTCTTCCCATTCCCATTCCCATTCCCCGCGCCGGCAGGGCGGTGTTGGGACCCGATGCCACCGGCCTCTTTGCACGTGTCTGGTGTACGTGAGTGTGCGCCCGCGAGCGGGGCGAGCTGCGGGGCCCTTGGTTTGCAAGAAGGGAGGGGGATGCGCCGAGCCCTAGCCACCCAAAAATTGGAATTATGTTTTGAGCGGTCGTGTATCGTCTTTGCCAGGTTGCAGCTGAAGAGGTGAATTGCTCCTGAGGTCAGTTCTCAGCGTGCTGAGATGCTGACGGGTCAGTAGCAGCAGGGTTTATGAGTACATGGGGGTCACCCGGGCGCAGACCCTGTTTAAATGGGTGCTGTGTTCACCTACATTTCGGTAAGGACGGGAGCAAATGCTTAACACTGTTGTCCTGAGCTTGATCTCAGCCACGGTCCTGCAGCCCTTTGCCCACCTCACCGAACGCAGCGAAGCAGCGCGGCCGCGGGGTCTTCAAGCTCCTTTGGTCTCTGCACCGATGGTCATATTTTCCAAGGACATTTTAGGTGCTAGCTACCCTTTTAATAAGAAAGGGAAGAGGAATAATCAAAAGTGGTATTTACGATGCTGAATTAGACTTGGGCCTGGTTTTGTTCTCGCTTCCCCCAGCACAGCAGAGGAGCAATCCTCTTAGCTGCAGAGTTTCTCCAGGCAATGAGATTATTAACACTTTAGAGGCCGGTTCCTCCGCTGGCTTAGTGCAGCAATGCTGCCTTACCCCAGCTAAAAGCTTAGTCCAGTTTTAGGATGTTATATGTTAATACGTGCAGCAAGGGCAGGGAAACAGTTTAAATCTGCCTGCAGGCAGTTCCTCTGGTCTCAGTGGGATCACGTTAGAGACACTCGCAATATAGGGCTAAATCCCCTTTCTGTGCAGTCGTGAGCAGTGCAAGAGCAGAGGTGCACAGTGCAAGGTTGCCTATCGCACCTTCGGTGGGGTTTTTAGCTCCCGGGATGTTCCTAATCCCCCCAGTCCTGCCCAGCATTTCCATTCATTTCCCCTTTGTTTCCTCCCAGGAGCAGAAGCTGCAGAGTGCGTTAGGCCATCTCCCAACAGAAGCTGGGTTACTATGTCTTTTTTTGGCATTTGCCATGATTTCTTAGTTCAGAAACCATCTCTCTTCCCCTGCATCGCGTGCCCTGCTTGCACCTGCAGAAGAGGGCTATGCTTTTGGGGAGATACTGGTGTTTGCGGACAATTATTGAAATATTTCTGTGTGGTCTGTGTGTTAATACTCTTAATTCTGCGAAATAGTCAGGGTTTCTTTCCCCCGCCGAAATAGAGTCATCTTAATTTTAAAAATCTGTATTCTTGGGATCATTGAACGAACAGATTGATCGTGGAGTTCTGCTGGTAATCAAAACCTAACTAGCTTTTTGGCAGTGCTGTTTACTGCAGAGTAACATGACTTATTTACTTGGCCTGGCTCGCTAATTTGATAACATTTAAAGCTAAAACACTGTAATAAGGCCCATTGGTAGAGAGCAGTGGTAACAGAAGAGTTTCCAAATAGCATCGTAGCATCCGCTCCCTGCGTTCCTGTGCATGGCTGGGTGCTCTGGGATTTAAACCGCTGTGATGCTTTGCACACAATGCCAGAGGATCACAAACTCTGGTAGTGCCTGATGGAAAGTAAGATTTTATCACTTTTTCCCTGGAAAGGGCGCAGAGTTGACATGCAGAATGTGGCAGTTTATAGGAACGATGAGGCAGAGGCAGGCAGGTGTATCTTAAACATGGGAAGATACCTTCAGAGTGATCTCGAGTCTTCAGACCAATGCTGCAAAATTCGGGTCCCCTTTGGCTTGGGACACTCAGAATTTCATAGGATCAGAGTTTATACATCCATAATTTTGTCTGAAGGCGGTGGGAGTTTCACTTGTAAGGGTTGTGCCCTTCGGTGCAAGTTACTTATACATGCCTGTATGTGTGTATATCTTTACATACACCCTTAGATACTCACAGTATAGGTTTCAACCCGTCAGAACATATGTGATCCAGAAAGTCTATGAGTGACTAGTAGATAGAATGCCAGCCGTTCTTCCTCATAAATTGGTAAACACTAATGTAAAACAGAGCGAGAATATTTCCTCCCCAGCCGCAGGTGAGTAGTACGTACGCAAAAGGCTACTGAACGTTGAGTGAGCTCCCCAAGATCCTGCGAATTCCAGCATCCTGATGCAGTCCCTAAATAGCGCAGATGGCATTTTTCTCTCTGATGATTAATTCAATATCTTACCAAAAAAAAACAAAAACATGCTTTTGATATGAGAGATCAAAACACCAAGAGAAGCTCCTAAGATTGCAAGGACCTAAAAAAAAATTAATTTATTTTTTCCCTCCTTGTACTTCTTGAAGACACCAGCCTGAGTAGAAGATAAGGATTAAACCAGATGTGCTTAGTGCTAGTTCATCTGCTTAAATCTAGCAGTCTCTGAGATCAGTGATTAAAAAGCCATCTCTAACTTTGATGAAATCCACTGCAATGGTAATACTGTGTCTCTGATCGCTTTCTTATGGGCCTCATGTCTGCCTAAACCGGACATAGAAAACATTTCACTGGAGATGATACATGGATTATATGGGTCAATTATACACTTAATCTGCCTTCTGGGGATTAAATGTGCATAGATTGACCCTGCGTATTTGGCTTGTCCTTGGCAGTTATCAGATCAGGAAGGTTGCTTTTACCAAAAAGTCTGGTAAGAACTTAATCACGCGGCGATACAGCCCGCTGAGGTGGCAGTAGTCATGGTGCTTTTTGCAGAAGGCAGTTTTACCACTTCACTGTCACTGTGTATGTTCGGCTTCCTCGAAGGTCTGTGTCACAGCCGGGATACCAGACGGAGTATTTTCTCCTGAAATGAGAAAGCGAGCCCGTTCGTCTCTGCAAGACGGAGGCGGGTTTTTTTTGTCTTGACGGCAGGGTGGGATCGGCGGGGTCCGGGCGATGGGAGAGACCGGGGGTTTGCTCTGCCCTGTGCCGTCCTCGGTGCAGAGGGACTGTCACTCCAGGTCCTCTCCCAGCAGCGAAGGAGAAGCCATGGCTCAACTGTTAGGGGAGCCAGCGTCTCCTTCCCACCGCCCTCGGGGAGGCACAAGCCCTCGGCTGGGGCTCTAGCGCCAGGTCCCATCCCTCTGGCTCAGCTC